TCAGAGGCAGTAAATTAGATGGGAGGAGGAGATTGCCTGTCTTTCTTCTACAGAGCAGCTGGCTGGTTCGAACCGCTTACCTTTGCTTTGGCAGTGTGATTCCTTGTTCATAAGGTTGCTATGAGTTGTACTCAATTCAATGGCATCTAATAACAACAAGCCACCAGTGCTCCCTCATCTCTCTAATAAGTAGGGACACAAAATGAAAATGGAAATAGTAAAGTAAAAATTTCTGTTTTGTGCCCCAAAGGCAAAACCCTGACTCTTACTAGTTATACTTGAAAACTCAAAACCTGTCCTGAATCAAAAGAATGAAAATTGGAGGGGAGGGAAAAGATAAAAGGTAGTGATCCTTGGAGGGTAGTCAAAGACAAAGCCGGCTGCAAAATGAATGGAGAACCTTGTTACTCCCCAAATTGTGAAGTCCCCTTCTTTTGAGTGACTGCCGCACTTCAACCAATAATGCTCCAGGCTCCCTTTGGTATTTTCTTTGGTTACTGTTGTTGTTATGTGCCATCAGGTAGACTCACAGTGACTCTATAAACAATAGCTCTGAACCTTGCCCTACCCTTAGCCAACCTCACTATCTCTGACACATCTGACCCCATTGCCCTAGGCACTGTGTCAATCCATCTCATCAGGTGTCTTCCTCTTCTGTGCTAATGTTCCACCCTTCCAAGCATGAGGTCATTCTTCAAGGACTGGGCCCTTTTGATAACATGCCCAAAGTATGTGAGACAGAGTTTCAAAACCCTTGCCTCCAGGCTCTCCAAGATGTCTCTTGGCAGTCCATATTGATCTCACCTTTTGACAGTAGCCAATCTCTAATGTAATTCTAATTTTATCTGACGCAGCCTCAGAGATGACATCAAATCCAGAATTGATTCTTTTTCTCTCTAGATCCTCTTCACATTCCTTTGGTGGGAATTTAAACTTTAAAAAAGACACTCCTTTCTGTTATCTAGCACATTCCATGCCTCCTCTGAGTTCTCTTCTTCATGATTAACAAATTTGATGTCAAGCTGCAGGCTTGTTCCTAACATGATTTGGCTATAAACTATAACAGATATAAGACTAGTGTCAGGATGTGTTTCATGACCCATGACCTTTGTTAAGTACTTCTCTGAGTTGTTTAGATTCACCATTCAGTGTTCCCCTGCTTTAAACCATGTCATTTTCTATATTCCTTTGTTCTGTTCGGACAATAGCTTCTTGATCTAAGTATGTTGTTGTTGTTGTTATGTGCCGTTGCTTGTGACTCACAGCGACCCTATGTACAACAGCCTTAAACTCTGCTCTGTCCTGTGCCGGTTGTACTGTCTCTGATACCCCCATCCCGAATACCCCAGTCACTGAATCAATCCACCTCATAGAGGGCCTTCCTCTCCTGTGCTGTATATTCACCCTCCCAAACATGATGTCCCTCTCCAAGGACCAGTTCCTCCTTAGAACATGTCCAAAGTATGTCAGACAAAGCCTCAGAATCCTTGCCTCCACAAGCCGCCTGGTTTAACCCACTCCAGGATGAATCTGTTTGTTTTCCTAGCAGTCTATGGTAGCCTCAATACTCTTCTCCAGCACCATAGCTCAAAGGCATCAATTCTCCTTCTATTCTCCCTAGTCATTGTTCAACTCTCTGACGCATAACAAGTGATTGCAAAGACCATGGCCTGACACCTTAGTCTCCAGAGAGACACCTTTGCTCTTGAGTACTTTAGAGAGGTCCCTAACAGCAGACTTTCCCATGGCAATACATCTTTTAATTTTCTGGCTACTTGTGCCAAGAGTTTTGACTGTGGAGCCAGCAAACTAAAGCTGTGAACAATCTCAATCTCTTCACCATCCATCCTGATGCTGCCAATTGGTCCAGTGGTGAGAATCTTTATTGAGCCTCAATCCATATTGAAGGCTGCACTCCTTGACCCTCTGCAGCAAGCACTTCACATCCTCCTCAGTTTCAGCAAGCAGGGTTGTGTCATCTGCATAACGCAGATTGTTAATGAATCTTCCATCAATCCTGACAACACACTTCTCATAGAGCCGAGACTCCCAGATGATCTATTTTGCATGCAGGTTGAAAAGGTATGGAGACAGGACACATTCCTGGCAAACACTCTTCCCAATTTTGGACCATGCAATGTTTCCTTGCTCTGTTCAGACGACTGCCTCTTGGTCTAAGCATAGGTTTCGCATTAGCACAATCAAGTGTTCTGGGATTCCCATTCTTCTCAGAGTCAGCCACAGTTTGTTATGATCCACACAGTCAAACACCTTTGCATAACCAGTGAAACACAGATTTACATTCCTCTGGTATTCCCTGCTTTCAGCCAAGATCCATCTAACATTGGCTACAATATCCCTAATACCACAACCCCTTTTAAACCCAGCCTGGACTACTGGCAGTTCTCTGCTGATGTGCTGTTCCAATTGTGTTTGGATAATCTTCAGTAAAATATTGCTTGCATGTGAAATCAGTGAGATTGTTGTATAGTTTCCACACTCTGTTGGGTCACCTTTCTTTGGGATAGGAACAAATACAGATCTCTTCCAGTCAGTTGGCCAAGTGGTTGTTCTCTAGCTTTCTTGGCACAACTTTGTGAGCATGTCCAGGGCAGCATCTGTTAGCTGAATTATGTCAATTGGTATACCTGATAGTCTCTGCTTTTAGCCAAGATCCATCTGCCAGCAGAAGTAATTTTCCTAATGCCATGGCCTCTTCTAAATTCAGCTTGAACTTCTGGGTATTCTTTGTCAATTAACTGCTCTAACTATTGTTGTTGGGGTTTTTTTGTTTTGCTTTTGGTATCTTCAGTATTTTGCTTCTACATGATATTAATGATTTTGCTTAATTTCTATATTCTGTTGGATCAACTTTCTTAGGAATGGGAACAAATATGGATCTCTCCAAATCAGTTGGCCAGGTCTTCCAAATTTTCTGGCACATACTCGTGAGCATGTCTGGTGCTGTATCTTATTTGGAATATGTCAATTGCTATTCCATTAAATTCTGGAGGCTTTCCCCCCTTTTTGCCTGTGACTTCAATGCAGCTTGAATTTCTTCCTTCATCATCATAGGCTCTTTATCATACACTACTTCCTAAAATATTTCAGTGTTGACCAATTAATTTTTTATACAGTCACTTCATTTCTCTATTGTCTTTTGATGCGTGCATGATGTTTGTTCATGGTTTGCTCTTCTGACTACAGTACCCGTCTGTTGGTTACTATACTAAGGTAGCTTGCTGACTGCTATGATACTGTAAGCTGTGCTACCAGTATTTTAATACTGGCAGGCCACCCATAGTGGACAGGTTTCAGCAGAGTTTCCAAATTGAGACAGACTCAGAAGAAAGATTGGCCATCCACTTCTGAAATACCCAGCCTTTGAAAACACTATGAACAATTCAGACGAACACTGTTAGACATAATACTAGAGATAGAACCCTGGAGATAGTAAAAAAAAAAATGAGGAGAAACAAGTTGTAAATATCCATTAATAATTGAAATATAGAATGTACAAGTATAAATGTAGAAAAACTGGGAGCTGTCAGAAATGAAATGGAACATATAAAGAGCTATATTCTAGGAGTTAGAAAACTGGGGTGGACTGGCACTGGTCACTCTGAATCAGACAAGCACATGATCTATAATGCAATGAATGAAAAACCGAGGAAGAATGGCGTTGCGTTCACAGTTAAAGAAACCATTTTAGGATCTATCTGTGCTGTGAGTGGTGGGATATTATCTATATGCGTACAAGGAAGACCAGTTAATACCACTGCTATTCAAATACACAAGCCAACAGCTAAAGCCAAAGAAGAGGAAACTGAGTAATCCTAACAATTTTTTGCAGTTTGAAATTGCTCAAACGAACATGTAGTCAAAATGCAGCAATAATTTGAGAGTGAAATGCAAAAGTTGGAAACAAAGTAGGCGGATTAGTAGCTAGAAATTACAGATTTGGGGAGAGAAATAAGGCTGGACATATTAGGAGATGCTATTCCCTGGAAAGGAACCTCAAGCTTGGAAACGTAGAAGAGAAAGACCCTCAAAGATATGGAGTGACAACCTCGGAGGCAATGAACTCAAACGTGTGGAGAATGATAAGGATGGTGCTTGTTAGCACAGAGTTCAGATCTGTTATTCATTGAGTAGCTATGATTTATACTCGAACAGAAAGCACTTAAAGACGTCTTATTATCCCTCCAAAAAAATAGCTTTGGTAATTTAATTAACATGCCAGCGAATTCCGTTTAAATTATTTCCGTTCCGAGTACTTGGGTTAAATTAAAATGCAGCAGTTTGCAGGTTATGCACGCATAAATGTTTCTTTTATTTTCCTATGTGGTTATTGCTTATTCAAGATTAACGCTGGTAAGATTCTGCGATTTAAAAAAAAAAGATTTCTCTAGCTGGAAGCCCCAAGCTTGATGGGCATTTCCTTGCGCCTTGGGGAGGCGTAGTAAGCGGGTGACCTTTATTGAGTGTGAAGGACTGGCTGCTTCTCTGGTTTTAGGTTTAGGAGCCCAAACCCTTCTCCCTGGAGTCAGGTCAGGGTTGTCCGGTTCGCTGAGGAAGGGTCCGGGAGAGAGTGGCGGGCGCAGGGCGGGCAGTGGCTCTGCTGACCGAGGTTCCAGACCTCGGACACCGGTATCGGGCGCTCCGTCCTCCTCCCCCGCCCCGCGCCGCCGCAAGGTTTCCCAAGTTTACGGCTCAGTCATCCCGCAGCGGCCGCCTCCGCCACTGAGAGGCCAGAGGCGCACATCTGCCTCCGGCCCGGGACCCGCCCCCGAGCCGCGACGCCCACGCCCAGAGCGGTCCGCCCGCCCCGGCGCAGTGCAGCAGAGCGCGCTCCCGCCCGGGGCCGACCCGCTCTCGCGCGCACGCGCGCAGGGACCCGCGCCCTTCAAGCGGTGCGGGGGCTCAGGGGGCTCCAGCGACGGGGGGAGGGAAGGAGGAGGCGGCAGCCGCGTAGCCTCCGGCGGGGCTCGTGCTCGCCCTCCGCTTCGCCCGAGCCCCGCGAGGGTGAAACGCTTTCTCCCGGCATGCAGCGGGAGGAGGGATTTAACACCAAGATGGCGGACGGCCCGGATGAGTACGATACCGAAGCGGGCTGCGTGCCCCTTCTCCATCCTGAGGTGAGGAACTGCGCCGAGCGCATTCCTCGGCCAGCTTTCCCCGACCTTTCTCCCGCAGACTTGTGGAGGGCGCTGGCCTGCGTGTGTGGGACGGGGGGACGTGTTGAAGTTGGGGAAGGCGGGGAGGCGAGTTCAGGCCCGAGCGCGGCAGCGAGCGGATAACGGGGGAGGAGATAGCGGGGCGGGCCCGGCCGGGGCGGGCTCTGGAACGGAGTCGCGGGCTGTGCCTGCAGGACGGAGGTGGAGGTGCTTGCGATTCTGGTCCTTAGCCTCGCTGACCCGGGCGCAAGCAGCGGGGGCCTGGTGCTGCTTTGGAGCCGCAGCTTGAGCCGCTGATCTTGCTGCAAACCTCTTGGGGACGAGACGGAGTCGTGCCTGGTTTTGATTGTTTCACCTTTCGTGGAGTAACTGAGTACGATGGTACCTGGTTCTCCTTAGCTTTTTGTGGGGGAGCCTAGGGCGATGAGACAGTTTGTTGGGCAAAGCGATGTCCTTCCAGGCTTGTTCCGCAACGCAGCGCCTTGGAGCACCTTGTGTCAGATGCGCTCGTTGGAAAGCCCGTCCTTAAAGCCATTGAAAAGAGAGGTCAGAACTTTTGGAAATTCTAGCTCCACTTCCCAAAAGTACCGTCTTAAAAAGAAGGACGCAGAAGACGGTAATGCAACATGTTTCCCATCACAACAAGAGTATCTTCCCATCGAAGTAAACAGTGCCCCGCTCCAAGATCACGTTCTGGACTTGTTTACCTCTTAGTTTGTAGCCGAGCACATTTTAGTTCAGGCCTGGAAGTGAATGTGGTTCTTACCGATCCACGTTGATGTGCGGATGGGGGCAGCGACAGCTTCCTCAAAAACTAGGGTTTTCTTAGCTTGAGGGACGAAGACTGTCAGTGGGGATTGGTGAACAAACATGGAAGTCTACCTGGTGGTTTGGTGATTCATTAGAGTGTTCGGTTTATTTCTGGATTTCGGCTTCTAGCCTGCTTATACTTTTGGTAAAATGTGAGTAAAGACAAGCACTTAATCCCTAGTTTATGTTCATAGTAAGCCATCCTGTCATTCTTCAGATTGCTTTATTAGAAACAGATGGGATAGTTTCTTTGAAATGTGCCTAGGCCAGGAAAAGGTTACTATTAATGTATGAAAAACAGAACTGTATCAAGAGACTAATGAATTATTGTCTTTTTGCCAAAGTAACATTTTCTGAGCTAGTATTGGAGACATCTCTCTTGTGGTTTATACTTTAGGAGGAGGGGACCCCTTAAGAAACCTGCAGAAACCCAACTCATTGGCATCAAATTGATTCCAACTCCCATTGTCCCTGAATGATAGAGTAGACCTGCTCCTCAGGCTCCCAAGGCTGCCACAACTTTTCCTGGGACCTGCTTGGTGGGTTTTGAATAGAATTGCTGACTTTTTGGTTCACTGCCAAAGCACTTTAACCATTGAACCATCAGCATGTGTCAAGAAATAGATAAAGTCGTTTCCATATAATGCATAGAAAATGCTATTGAAAAATACTTCTGTTTATTCTTTCTGAACTTTTACTGTGTAAAATAGTATTGAGTACTTTTAAGAGTAATTTTATCTTGTAAAAAAAATCCACCAGTGTTTGATGTAATGGACAGTAGACTTGAAGGTTCGAGACCAGTCTTCCAGTTAGACAGTATCACTAGAAAATCCATTTCCTTCTCTTTGAAAGTAGAAACTCTGGTGTCTTAAAGGTTAACTACTGGGTTGCTAACCAAGAGGTCAGTGATTCTAATCTACCCACCCTGTTGTAAGAGAAGACATGTGGAGGTCTGCTCCTATTAAGGTTATAGCCTAGGGAGCTCTGTTGGCTTAGTGGTAAGGAATTGTAATGCCAACCCAAAAACATAAAGTTTGAATCCATCAGCTGCTCTGTGGGAGAAAGATGGGCACTCACTTGTGTGATTTACTTCTTTAAACCTTCTCGATGGTCAGCTGTGAATCAGTTCCAATTCAATGGTACATCACAACAAAGCCTAGAAAACCCAATGGATGGGTCTACTCAGTTTTACAGGGTCACCACTGGACCAATTGGCAGCATCAGGATGGATGGTGAAGAGATTGAGATTGTACACAGCTTTAGTTTGCTTGGCTCCATAGTCAACAGTCTTGGCACCAGCAGCCAGGAAATTAAAAGGCGCATTGCCATGGGAAAGTCTGCTGTTAGGGACCTCTCCAAAGTGCTGAAGAGCAGTGGTGTCTCTCTGGAGACTAAGGTGCGTCTGATACAGGCCATGGTTTTTGCAGTCCCTTGTTATGCATCAGAGAGTTGGACAATGACCAAGGAGGATAGAAGGAGAATTGATGCCTTTGAGCTGTGGTGCTGGAGAAGAGTATTGAGAATACCATGGACTGCTAGGAAAACAAACAGATTTGTCCTGGAAAGGGTTAAACCGGGTGGCTCCTTGGAGGCAAGGATTCTGAGGCTCCATCTAACTTACTTTGGACATGTTGTGAGGAGAGACTGGTCCTTGGAAAGGGACATCATGCTTGGGAGGGTGGAGGGACAGCGCAGGAGAGGAAGGCCCTCTATGAGGTGGATTGATTCAGTGACTGGGATAATTGGGATGGGAGTGTTGGAGACAGTGCGATTGGAACAGGACAAAGCGGAGTTTAGGGCTGTTGTACATAGGGTCGCTATGAGTCGCAGGTGACTCGAAGGCACATAACAACAACAACAACTGATGAATTGGAATCTTGATGAAACACAAACACAACAATCAAAATGAAGATTAGAATAAATACTTTCTTTATTTTAATCCACACAAACAGTATCTGATTGTTGTTGATTGTTGATTGCCTTTGAGTTGAGCACACCTCATAGCGACCCTATGAACAAAAGGCCTGAAGCCCCTCCACAAGTATTGACAGTTATTAAAGTTCATAGAGTTTACAGAGGCATGTTGTTTAGAAAGTGGATGCCACTCCAAAGTATCTGATTAGTTAGATGTTTTGAGTCCTAAGCTTGCAACAATATAGGTGAGGTCTTTTTGCATTTTTCTCTATTGTTATATGGCATCTAGTTGAGTAGGATTGCATAATGACCTTGTGAACAATGGATCTAAACCTTGTCCTATTCCTTTGCCATCCTCATCATCTCTGACATATGTGAACTTGTTGCTGCCATCCTATGTCTGCCCATCTCATTGAATGTCTTTATTTCCCTGACCCTCTCTCTGTCCAAGTGTGATGTTAATTTCCCAGGAATAGCCCCTCCAAACAATATGCCCAAAGTAGGAAAGATGAAGCTTCACCATCTTTGCCTCTAAGGAGCATTCTGGCCTCACTTTCATTAAGGCGTCTGTTTGTTCTTTTGACAGTCCATGGGATAGTCAGTACTCTTCTCAAAGGTATCAATAATTCTTTGGTTAACTGTAGTCATTGTCCACCTTTAACATGTGTAGCAAGCAATTGAGAGAACAGTGGCTTGGATAAGGCACACCTTAGTCTTTAAACAGATTTCATTGATCTTAGTACTCTGGAGGGGTCCCTGACAGCATATTTTCCCAACATGATGTATCTTTCAATTTCTTGACCACTGATTCCAAGGGTATTGATTGTGGAGTCATGTAAGATAAAATTGTTGACAACTTCAAACTGCTCTTCATCTGTCGTGATATTGTTTATTGGCCCAGTCGTGAGGATTTTTGTTTTCTTAATGTTGAGATGTATAGACAGTTTCCTGTGCGGTATACCACCTCTGAAAACCTGCAAGAGGGCTAGCTCTGTGTCAGTTCTGTCTCAATGGCAATGATGGAGTGAGTGATAAATGCACATACACATATATGCTCACTGATTTAGAGTAGATTTCAACTCTAGATGATCCTTTCTGGAGTTGATGATGGAAACTGCTTATCTTTTTCCTGTGGAGTGGCTGGTAGATTTGACCCAGCCCAATAGATTACGTTCTACACTACCAAGTATTCCTTACACAAACACACACCTTTAAAAAAAAAAGTACAGTATTTTCAATTGCCTGTGAAGGGAAACCCATACTCTGTCTTGGCAAGCAAATGAACTAATGGGCTAAGGAACTCTGATGCCATAGTAAGTATATAACATGTCAGGATGCTAAGTGAAAGGTTATACTTCAAATTCACTAGTCACTCCTGGATAGAAGCTCAAGTGGTTTAATGGTAAGCAGTTTTGTCCCAACCCAAAGGCACCTGGTTCGAATCTACCAGTTGCTCCACAGAAGAAAGATGTTCAGTCTCTTTCCATGCAGTTTGCCACTTTTGAATACCTGCTGGAGGGTCAGCTGTGAGTCAGTTCCAACTCTTAAGTACATAACACTCCTGGGGAGAAAGATGCACAGTTTCTGCCCATAAAGATTTACACCCTCAGAAACCCAGTGGAAGTCTAACATGAGTCAGAATTGATACTTTTGTCCTTCTTGTTAGACTTTTTTTGGGAAAGAACATGAGCTGTGGGTCAATATGGCTTTGATTTAAATTCTGAATTTGTCGTAACTACTTATATGACCTTAGGCAAGTATTTGATCTTTGTAAGTCTCAATTTGTTCATCAGAAAGTAGAGATTTTGCTTAGTGTATTGGGCAGCAAGGGATTGTTCTTGTTAGGTGTCATAGTGACCTGTGTCCAACAGAATGAAACACTGCTCAGCCCTGCCCCTTCCTTACAGCTCCTGTTGTGGTTAAAGCTGTTGCTGTGGCCACTCTTTCAGCTCATTTGTAAAGAATTCTTACCCATTGCCATCCAGTTGGTTGTGATCCTGTAGTGGACTTCCAAGGCTATCAATTCCATGGGAAAGGATTGCCCATCTTTCTCCCATGGATTTGGATTTTGGATGGATTTGAACCTTCAGAGAAGGTTGATCTTTAGGTTAGCAAGGCAACCATGCTACCAGAGCTTCCTTATAAGAAATTGTTGTTGTTATGTATCATTGAGTTGGAACTGATTCATACCTTACCATCCAGTGGGTTTTCAGAGGCAGTAAACTGCATGCGAGGACATTGCCCATCTTTTTTTTTGTGTGGAGCAGCTGGTGAATTCAAACTGTATGCCTTTGGGATGGCAGTGCAGCTTCTTATCACTAGGCCACCACAGATCCCCTGTGAGGAACTAGAAGAGACTATAAACTGAGGTTTAAGAACCTAGTACATTGTAGGCACAGGCTGTTTTCATATAGGAAAGGAGGTATAAATAGGAACACATTTTATTTTACTTATTTTCAGATTTAACACCATGTTGGTCACAGAATAGTTTCTCACTAAATATTTGTTGTGTAGGTAGATTATTTGTAAAATAAAGAATTGAGCTATTACTCAGATATTCCTATAATAGAATAATAATAGAAAAACCTTCCTTGGTGCGTTATATAAATGCCTACTTCTTAATGTTGTGGTTGTTAGGCACCAAAGAGTTGGAACTAACTTATAGTTGGCCCTCCAGCAGGTTTTCAGAGGCACTAAATTCTATGAGAGAAGATTGTGTATCTTACTCTTACAGAGCAGCTGGTGGCTTCAAACTGTATGCCTTTGGGTTGGCATTAGGGGTACTTACTGTTAAAGACACCCTTTCTTTTGAATAAGTGAGGATCTCTTTATGTAAATAATTTGTACATTTGTCTAGGTTTTTACACATTATCTTGGGTCAGATCAGAGCAG